CATCTAAGTTCGGTTGAAACCAGTTGTCACGATCTGCAGAAAAGAAGTGAGATTGGATTTGAAGTGGAACCATCTTCTCCCAGACTTTCCTCGCAGCTGAGAAATCTCTTAAGCAGTGGATATTGGTTTCCACTTATTCCTTGCAAAGGGAACATTGATCATCAGTTGTCAAATGCCTATATTTGCGGATGATGTTCGTCAAAAGTTTCCCTTTCATTGCCATCCAAGAGAAGAATCTGACTCTCTCCGGGCAATGAAGACGCCAAATACTTCTTCAAATAGATGGGTGATGTGTGCCCTGATTCGGAGCTATCATGTTGAAGGCAGACTTGGTGTTGAAGACCCTATTCGCCGACTCTTTCCATAACAGTGTATCCTCCGAGGTCGAGATAGGGTCTAGCAGAATTGACTTGATCTTGTTGGTGATCTTCGTTGGCAAGTAGGCCTCAAACTCCTGAGTTTGCCATCCATTGTGCACGTCCCAGTAGTCTGTAACCATCTTGTCCATAAGTTGCAGGGGCACTTCAGCTGTGGCAAGCTGCACTAAGGGATCCTGCAAAACCCATGAGTCAATCCAAAATTTAGTTTTCTGTCTTGTCTTAACATTATATGCAGCGCCTTTGCGCAAAAGGGGGGCAGTTTGGGCAAAGCTGCGACAGGCAGTCGAACTTCCCTTTATTTTGCAAAGAATGCGGAGACCCTCTCTATTGCTACTAGGGATGGCAATGGGTCGGGTTGGGTCGGGTTGGGTCGGGTTTTGCCAAACCCAAACCCATGGGTTTATCTTTGAAAAAAATCTGGGGTAAAACCCACTGGGTTTGAAAAACTCAAACCCAACCCAACCCGTTGGGTATCCGCGGGTTCATGGGTACCCACGGGTTTTGTCGTAAAAAATTTACAATTACAAGTTCTTATCAAAATTAAAGTCAAATATCAATCTCTCAATACAAATTATCCATATATAAAACACCATTCTAGAAAATTCAAGCAAATCACAAATTAACTATACAAATTGTTCAACACCAATCTAGAAAACTCAACAAAATTGAAGCAAATCACAAATTTTCCATAAATAACATGTTTAATTGAAAGCTTCTTCCTTTCAATTAAGTTTCTTTACTCTCCACTCCATAACATCAACTTGATTATACACAATTAAAAAGAAAAAATTAGACATGTCTCCACAAACATAAATAAGATTAGTTGTTTAGAATATTAAATATACCGAAAACATTAATTATATGGGTGGGCGGGTACCCATGGGCTGGGTTTACCTAAACCCAAACCCAACCCGTTGAATAGTGAACGGGTTTAAACCCAAACCTGGCCCAAAACCCGTCAACACGGATTTTACCCGCGTTGACCGGATTGGGTCGGGTGGGTATCCGTGGGTTCGGGTTTTGTTGCCATCCCTAATTGCTACCATACTTGGTCCTCATAACTCTGGCCAAAAGGGTTGTGTCCCCACTAGCTAGCTTCCAAGCACCCTTAGCTAGCATGGCCTGGTTTGCCTGCTTAGTAGGTCTAATCCCAATGCCTCTGTACTTTCTTGCAAGAGTAATTTGATCCCAAGCAACTAGATGAAATTTATTTTTGCCATCATCTTCCCCCCCAAAGAAATTGGCGATTAAACCGGTCAAGCAAATTACAAACAGAAGTTGGGAGTTGTTCTGTAAACATAGGATAAATAGCCATGGAATATGAGATTGAATTCACCAGGGTGGATCTGGCCGCCAACGAGAGGTGCTTCGATTTCTAGGACACTAGTTTCTGCTATATTTTCAAGACAAGTTCCTGGTATCTTTCCTTAGTAATTCTTCCATGGATCGCCTTGATTCCTAAGTATCTGCCCAAGTCGTTGGTGAGAGTTATTCTAGCCTTGGAACTGAGCCTCTGTGCTTTATCTCTTGGAACATTAGGGGAGACAAACATTGATGATTTATTGAAATTAACTTTTTTTCCTAAGCTCGAGCTGAAATCCTCCAAACAGGCTTGGATGACTTCAATCTGTTTTCCCTCGGCCTCTGCAAACAAAATTAGATCATCAACAAAAAAAAAAAATAGGTGAGAGAGCTTTGGACTGTCCTTAGTAAGAGGAATCGGTTTCCAAAGTCCCTCATCTATTGCTTGTTCTATTCGGTGGGACAGCCTTTCCATACATAAAAAAGGGGGATAAAGGGTCTCCTTGGAGAACTCCTATGGTAGGATGAATGGATGAGGTTAGTTCACCATTTCATTTAATCCTCATTTGGTTCTTCTCCACACACATCATAATCCTGCTAATCAAATTGCTGGGAAGACCAATTTCACCAAGTGTGTCTCTCAAGAAACTCCACCGCAGACGATCATAGGCCTTCTCAAGATCAATCTTCACGATAAATCCTCCCTTTTTACCTTTCTTGTTCCCGAGTGAGTGTAGGGCTTCTTCGAGGAGCAATATATTATCATTAGTATGCCTTCCTTTAATGAAGCCACTCTCAGTGGGTGCTATGAGCTTCGACATGATCGGTTTAAGCCTATTCGCAATGGCCTTGGTGATGGCTTTAAGTGCCACATTGTTTAGACTTATAGGCCGAAGCTGTGCTGGTGTTTCCGGATGATCAACTTTCGGAATCAGCACCACCGTCAAAACTGTAACCCCTTCTGGGAGAAAACCTGTCTCAAAGAAGTAATTAGTCATCTCAGTAAGGTTTCTGCCCATCAAATTCCAGAATTTCTGATAGACAATGGCCTGAAACCCATCCGGACCCAGGGCAGACATATGCTTCATCTCAAATATCGCTTTATGGTAATCTGAGATGTGAAAAGGTTGCAGCAGCCTCAATAAATCCTCCTGATGTAGCCGAGGGAATTGATTTTTAGGCATAAGATCCTCATATTCCCCTACTTCGTGAGTGTATAGCATAGTATAGAATTGAGCTATCATGTCTTTCAAGGCCTCTTGATTGTCAATCCACTCTTTCGTGCAAGGCTAAGAAATTTGTTTCTTCTACATCTTCTAGTAGCCTGCAGATGGAAGTAAGATGTGTTTTGTTCTCCCAATTTGACCCATTTTTCATTCGCCCTTTGGTACCAAATAGTCTCCTCTTGGGCCATCAGGAGATCCAAATCTTTTTCAATTAAATCTGCAACTTCAAAAGACCCGAGATAAAAACAGTCAGCCAAGCACTTAGAAACCCCTTGCAGTCTAGCCAAAATACGCTTCTTCCTTCGACCTGTTACACCAAAAACATCATTGTGCCACTTTTGGAGTTTAATAGTAATGTCTTTAAGAGAGGTGAGTAGGTCAGTTTCCTCCTTCCAGTTTCCCCTAAAAAAACTCCTTAAACTGAGGATGCAGCAGCCAAGCTGTTTCGAACCAAAAAGGCCTCGCATCCAAGTTTAAAGAGGATAGCTTGTAAGGAGGGGGAGGTGGTCTGATTGGACCTTCGGCAGATGTTGAACCAAGGTGTTAGGAAACACCCTATTCTAGCTGGAGTTGCAGATGGAACGGTCTAGACGGCTAGCCTTGCGAGTTCGGCTTGAATCTCCCCAAAACCAAGTAAAGCATGGTCCCGAAAAGTTCATATCCGTCAAGTTTGCATCATCCATCCAACTAAGAAGTTTCTGGCAGGCCGAAGATCACTCGAAGAACAGGAACCATATTTTTCATCCAGTGAACAAAAGGCATTGAAGTCGCCTGTAACTATCCAGGGGAGGTTCTCGGCTTGATTGGTTTGGATGAGTTGATCCCATAGCAGCGAATGAAACTTGTACCTCGGGCTACCATACACACCAGTTTATATCCATTCTTGATGAAAAGGCTTTGAAATTCTAACTGAGATTTGTTGCTTGCTGGCATTAAGAAGAGTCACATTAAAAGAATCTAATTTCCAGGCTAGCCAGATGCCCCCAAACCTCCCATCAGCATCCACCCATATTACCTCATTAAAGCCAAGGCTGCTGCAATACCGAAACAGCGCGTTCTCCACTAATTTGCGGCTCCAAAATCAGCAAGAAGTCTGGTTTATGATTAGTCGTCAACAAATGAATAGCTCTTGAGAATTTCTTCCCACCTACACCACACACATTCGAGGACATAATTTTAAATTGTGTTTGATAAACCATAAGATAAAGGAAAAAGAAAGGGGGGAACAAGAGAAGCAAAAGGTAGCAGAGTTGGGTAGGAATCATGTGGCAGTGGTAGTCGAGTTCACCAGAATGCTTGTTTCGTGCACAATGTCTACTCCCTCTTCTACCGAGGACTCCAGCATCACAACATCATCTCCTTTTTTATCCGATTTCCCAAGGTGCGTGGTTATCCTCTTCTGCGATTTGGTGCAGAATTCCTCGATGGCTTCAAAAGATAATGGAAAAGGGGTCTCTTTTGGCTTCTTGTGCGATTCTTTTTCCCGAGGACTCTAGATTTGGAGTGACTAATTAACTTTCTTGAGACTAACTCTTTTGGGATTCATCGATCGCTTAGTCTTATTTTTGTTGTAATGCTCTCGAATTGAGGAGCTCTCGATATTGGGATTCTGATTTTCTTTCTTTTCCAAAACCAGATCAGGGACAGGGACGACTTGAATCTTAGTATTGTTCGGGCCGAGTTTCAAATGTGGTGAGGGTGACTGGGTTTTGTTGGACCTTTGGTGGATTATTATTGAGGCCTGGCTCAGTGGGCCCGGTATTCTCAGTAGTAGAGGCTGCTGATTGATTCTTATGTCCAACCGGGCACCATTCTTCGGCTGTCCCTTCTTTCTTGTGACCGTTAGAGCTGGTCCCGTCTTCTGGCGCCTTTTCTTTCATATTACCATTATTTCCTTGTTTGTGCACCGGCTTCAGCTCCTGTTTCCCTTTTGATTCCATTACCGATTTCCCCAAATCCACTCCAACTTTCCTTTTTGTAAACCCCATCTCCCGGGCAGACTCTTGTCTCTTTCCATTTGTGCCAGCTTGATTTTGGGTCTGATTTGGGGTAGCTTTCCTATTTGGGCGTATGGATTTGCGGTGACCTGCATCTAGGGGCCATAACAGGCGGGAGTCACCGTCAGCTCTGTTTTCGGCGAGTGTTGGAAAGACTGTTCCGACGAGACTACCAGGGCTAGTGGTTGCGGTGGTTGCTTCAGTGGGCAAACTTCTTCCGTATGTCCAATCTTTCCACAAGAGTAACAAATGACCGGGAGATTCTCATAAACAACTTGCTGCCAGGCTCCATCTAGACGGATTCGAGTTGGGAGGGGCTTAGTCATATCAAGATCAATAGCAATGCGCACAAATTTTCCCCTCTCCAAATTTTCCGTATGGTAATCCAGATTGACCATTCTTCCTACAAGATTCCCAATAGCGAAAAGAACTTCCCGTTGGTAGAAATAAACTGGTAGTTCAGGGAATTGCACCCATGCTACGACTGACACGTGAGGCTTGTCCGAAGTGCGGAAAGCCGGTGACCACTAGTGAACCACCAAATAGTAGAATCACCCAGGGGCCACCTGTCAGCGCCCGTAAGTAGTCCTGATCGTCCCCAAAAGTGGCCAGAAAGGTGTCGTTGTTTAAATCCATGATCTCCAGGGATCCTATCGGTTTCCACTTCCATCGCAGCTGAGAACACAGATAGGCGTACGTGATTGATCGGCCCAAAATTCAAACCACTAGAGTCTTCCTCCATGGTTGACAGAGCTTCTCTTTGAGCCATGCCGAAATCTTCAGTTCCGGTTCACCCTGGAAAGTGCATGTCTTGAGGTCATCAGTGCCAATAAAGGTCCATTGAGAAGTCTTTCTTGAAGCCTCTTACGTGATACCGGATAGGGCAACTTTGAAGTTTAAGTGTTGACGACGGCTTTGAACGGTTCCAGCTGGTCTTTTATAGGTGATGTTGCACTTAAGTTGTTTGGCGGCGGCCCCAAGAGAGTGGGGGACGCCGGTGGAGGAGGAAGCGCTAGAGGTTCCGGCGAGAGCATCAGAGAGCACGCCAATCCCAATTCCTCCAAAATCACATATCACCACCGGTTTTTTTATAGACCTGCTTGTGAAGGGCAATGTAATCCCCATTTATGAGTACTAGCACCGGGTCCGCCCTGTTGGGCGGGTAACCTATACATAATCGTATCATTTGATAAATGTTGAAATATAAACCCAATTTAAAATAGTTAATTTCTTTTGGTAACTTTTGTAATAAAATGATGATTGTACAAAATGTTAGCCCAAAAAATGTGTTTATTAATACCTATGGAAGTTTTATCTAAAAATGGTTGTATGGAACTGTTTATGGGAGAAGCCGAAATTAAAATTTCCATGTAGATAGAGCCATTCAATATTTATTATGAAGATGAATTAAAAGAATTTATTTGTAATTTTACAAACAACAATAATAAGCAATAACATCCCTAATGTATTGGAAAATGTTATATGATATTAACAGAAAAAAGTAATAGGAAATAAATACTTGGGCCACCAATACAACAGTCTGATTGATTTTCAACCCATAGAAGAATGGACCAAGCCATCAGATTGAATGACTAGGGAAGTGGGATCAAGGTCGAAGCGTGTATTCGTCATTCATGTACCAACAATCGATCGACTTCCTTCTGGCTTCTAATCCTATCTTAGATTCTCGATAGTTCTACTTTATCTTCCATGGGTTCTCCAACGATTCCCTTTAATCCTATCTCTTCATCCTCACCAATCTAAGAGCAAAAAAAAAAAAAAAACAAACTAGAGCTTCTTTTTCGCTATATAACCCCTTTGCTGCAAATCGCATAAAATAACGCTCATACCAACCTCTGCCTTTAGCTCCTAGTTCGATCTCCTCTGTGCTTCAAGGTAGTCATGCAACCAGCAAATTGAACATTCACGAATTTCATATTCCTGTAATTTCACATTATTTTGCGAATGATTGTTTTTCTTTTGTAGTGTTGCCCGTAATTTCGCTTCTAGGTAATGGTTGAAGACAAAATCCATCGTTCCCATCACTTTGTCCCTTGGCCAGAATAATAAGATTTATTTATGGAAGAACTTACCATGCAGAAAGTTGAGAGGTTGGTTGTGTATGGTGAACTTCACCAACTAAATTTGTCATAATAATGAATGAGCATGAGTTTTATAGTATGCTATAAAAATTGTCTATTATAAGTGCATAAAATTCTCTTCCCAAAAGTAAATAAAACTCCAAAATGTAAACTCCATCCATACTAAAGTTACCCAAAAGACATAAATCTAGATAGCAAGGCTTCCCTATAATTGAAATAAATTTAGTAATGTAAAGCGGAAAAACGTATGGAGTATGGACATGATCTGTTATTGATAAATGGCCAGAAGTACTAATGAAAGATGCATAAAGAAGGTTAAAGGTCTAGTTTGGGAATATTTTTTATTGCCTACGTACAGTACTTTTGGTTCAAACAATATGTCCAACATAATTTTCCGGGCTCTAAATTTTCAATTGCCAAATACAAAAATACCTAATTGAGATGATGAATCATCTTGTTGGAAAATACAAATTCCAATTCCAGTTCCAATTCCTTTCTATAGTCCCCAAACATATGATCAAAACCCAAGAATCTTAAGACAAATGAGAGGAATAGGGGGTAAAATTTCGGGTAGGAATAAGGTAGTCAATGTTTAGCAAGTAGAATGGTTCGACCAATGGTACAATCGGTTTGTATCGTTTCATGTCAGTTTAACAAAATATGTAGAAATGTAAAAAATCACCGGCCCGGTGCCCACTTACACTCATCACCAAACATATTCTAGAGTTTAATCAAAAAAATAACAATAAATGTAATACCACTGGAAATGCCATCCTTTAGCGAAAGTGCCATTTATATTACATGCTTTCAATAAACACAAAAATATTCCAATCTATTAGGGGTTTGCGTCATTTGTGTTACGCGAATTTCTGTTGACCGTTAGAAATGACGGTTGACCTAATGGTGGCCCACTTTGTGTCCACGTAGGCGACACGTGGATGCCACGTTTCAAAAAATGCTTAAAAAATTTAAAAATATAATTAATTAATTATTATTCTATTACAAAATAAAAATTCTTTTAACCCCACCCACCCCTATCTTTTTACAGCATCGGGCCTCGATTCCCTCAACCCGTCGGGACAAACGGAGCTGCTCTCCTGCTACCTGCTTTCCAAACGACGACGACTGTGCCGACAAAGCTTTGGACGGCGGCGATGCTAGAGCTTAGGAAGGGGGCCATGGCTGTGGAGTTTTGAAAGGCGACTCTTGCGGTCGAGCTTTGGAAGACAGCGGTGACGGTGTGTTATTGAGGCGCCACAGAAGGAAAGACGAAGCAGGTCAGTTGAAGGGTGGAAGAGTGGTCGTAACTAAGGTTGACTGTTGATCAACGACCATCTCTTCCCACCTGCAATTCCCTAAAGAATGCGAATCACCTGACCAATTTTTCGCCAAATGGGTTGTTGTCTTAGCAGCGCAACCAAATCCTCTCCCCCTGTTTCTGCTTCTCACCCTTCCTCAAAAAAACGACAACCGTTACAACTTCGAGCCGCCCAAGTTTCTCAAGTCAACCGCGGAAACCAGAGTTTCGCCGCCGGACTGCAACGAGGAAACCATCAAAGGAGTCCTCTCCTCCGAAACCCTCAATCCCAAGCATCCCCACAGGCCGCCGCCACCACAACAGCAGCATTACTCTGCCATTCCTCCTCCCCAATCGCCGTTGAATCTAGTGAATCATCAGCCAAAGGAGCCGATTGTTGTCCAGAAGAAGAAGGAAATTCAACCCTCGGTGGTGGAGAAACTAATGGAGGAAGAGGAGATCTCGGAGTAAGATGCGTCGGAGTTTGCAGCGTGAGCTTTAGCATGAGCGAGAGCGCGATGTTGACGGCGACGACGGCGAACGACGAGGAGGTCACGATGAAGCAGATGAAGTTGAGCAAGAGATCTTCTCGGGCGGGGAAGCTATTCGCGGCGGCGAGGATGAATCGGGCGTTTTCGACGGCGGATGCGGACTCAAAGATACAGCTCTGCGCCGATTCGACTACTCCGCTCCTCTAATTTCACTCCCCGCGACGATCTGAAGCCTTCGCCTCCACTCGCACGCTGATTGATTCCGCCCAGCTCGTCAATTTAGGGAATTTTTTTCCTATGGGGAGCTAGGGTTCTTCTCTGTTTCCCTATGGAAAGGTGAGAACGAAATGAGTTTGGGGAGCCTGATCCCGTTTTTACTTTTACCTTGTTTTTTTCATTTTCAGTAAATAAACCACGTCAGCGAGCCACTTAGGATCCTATTAAGCACTGACTAGCGTTGAAAAGTCGCACAGTTATGTTTAACGACCCAACTAATGGAGAAAACATTTTTGTATACAAAATGGCATATCGAAAACGATGTAATATTAATGACACTTTCGCTAAAGGATGATATTTCCAGTGGTATTAGCTCTAAATATAATGTAGTCTAGTTGGTTATAATGCTCTATCTTCATTTAAGTGATCAGTATGTAAAGATGAATTGAGTGAAATAATAAAAATAACCTTCCTAGAATTACTCTCGGGTCACGAAATTTGAAATAGGGCAATTCCAACTCATGAATCTGATTTAAATATATTATAGAATAATAATATCAGGAAGGTTTCTATAAAAAAATAAGTTACTCACCTATATCCTTAACCGAGTATTACAGGCTTAGGATAGGGTAAGTAAATTGGTTACCTATGAGTAACTAAATTTGGACCTTTAGATTTAGGTGGGTCCAGAAAATTCAGATCTAAGGGTTGTCAATTAAAGAAATTTTATTTCCCTACTTTTCTTAATCGGCTCTTATCTTCTTCGTTCTAACTCGAATTTCAATTTTTTTGCACAGATGGAACAAGTTCGTTGTGATCTACAAAATGAGATCAATTTTCAATATATTTTGAGAAACTTTTTTTTACCAATTACATACCACATGGTAACTTCTTCGCTTTTAAGTCGTTTTTGAAAATGTTTGCTTAGAAGGAACGAGTTCATCATGATCTATTGGATCTATAAATTTCTGGGTGAAAAAAATACTGGATCAAAATTACCATACTTTACCACTATGGTATGTGGGTGGTAACTTGTAGTAAACAATTATGAAAGTCGTAAATGACAGTTAGTATACTCCTACTATCATGTATTCAACCTTCTTACCATATTGGTATGTTCATATCATTATGGTACGCTTTCTTACCATATGGTATTAAATAGAAGCATACCATATGGTAATGATTGGTAAAAACTTCAAATTTTTTTTTTTTACTAAAAATATATCAAAGTAGATATCATATTAAAGAGCACATTCAATCTGATTTATCTGTGTAAAAAATTAAATTTTGACTTAAAACGATAGAGAAATCGTCCGTTTAAAAATTGAAGGGGAATAGATAAAGGACTTTCCACGAGAGAGAGTATTAATGTCATGCTGATATGAGCAGATTACTCATGTTCACTAACCATAACGACTTACAAGATCTACAGCTGGGCCTCTGCCTGCATCTCGTGGCCTGTTAGGAAAAAAGAAAAATGAGAAAAGAGAACAGAGAAAAGAAAGAAAAAGGAGGGAAAAGAAAGAGAGGAAACCGGATTTCATGCCAGTGATGCCACCTTTCGCACTGGCATTCTGCTATTTGGCAACCGCCGACCGCCGTCTCCCACGTCAACGCGAGTCGTAAGTCGTAACACCAAACTGACTTCAAGTTTTGTACCCCTCACCCACCCTCCACATTCGCCGTTCCGTTTTAATTGCCTCTGAACGTGAATTATTGTTTTCTTCCAGAATTGTGTTTGTTTGTAAATTATTTATTCATTCCGTTGCGATCCAAACAACAATGTTTATCCAAAAATGAAAATAATAAATCGTTAATCGGCGCTCACAATCAAAATCCAGAACTTGTAAATAAATATACAATTATTCAAATAAATTGAGCTTTTCTTTTCTGGGGAAAAAGCCCATTTTGTACAGCCTTTGCTTGTCGTTTTCAACAGAGCTGCAAGGGAGAACTTTCTTTTCTTATATTTTTTCATAATCTTCACGAAATGTAATTTGGGTTCTCATTTCCAATTTTTATTATTAATATCTAATTCACTGCTTTCGATCTGTCTTACTGTTACTGCGCTGTAAAAGAAGAAAACAATTCCCCGAAAATTCTCTCTTTTATTCATTTATCCCTTACCTTCTGCACACATACATAGAGAGACTTGAGACTTGCTTTCTCCCTCTCCCTCCTCTTTCTCTCTCCCACTCAAACCACAGCACTCATCTACTCATTCTCTGCTGTTGCTGCTCTTTCATCTTCTGCCATCACCAAAAACATCAACTTTCCGCATCTCAGATCATAAAAGTAAAACCCACCAGAGAGAAGCAGAGCCTCAAGATAAGGGGAGTTGGGTTTTCTCCCGATGGGTATCGCTGACGCAGCGGCCAAGCACGGCGGAGGAGGCCTGCCCATTGTCACGGACCTCAAGACCCTACTTTCCCTTGTGAGGACCAAGCGCTCTCTGGCTTTCGCCTATGGCTTCATGTTTGCTTTCGTTGTCTTCACCGTCTTCCTGGCTTTTAACCCTTCTCCCAGCTCTTCCTCCCCTTGGTTCTTCTCCAACATCTTCACCGCTCCTCCTCCCGGCGCCGTCACCGCCAGAGATAGTTCCGCTGGATCTCAATTCCCTTCTATTTTCTCTTATCTGTTCCCCAACTCCTCCGATACTGCTCCACAGATGGAAGACGACGGCGGATTCCGGACGGTGAACGCCTCCTCCTCCTCCGCCGCTGTCAGATCTAACTCCAGTTCTTCGCAATTTCAAAATGGGGATGTGAAATGGCCGCCTACTGTGAATAACCAGACCCAAACTAGTACAGAGCATTCTTTTGTTCCGCCGCCGGTAGAAACCCAGTCCAGAAACGCTTCGTTTGTCGTCGAACAACCTCCTGCTCCACATAGTAAGAATCAAACTGTAGAGAATTCCGCTAAAGTTCCCAGCTTTAAGCCAACCGCAGTAGATGCGGGGAATCGGAGTAAGAGTGCTGTTACTCTCGCTGCCAATAATGGAAATTCTGGCCACTCCCAAGGTATGGATGTAGTTACCAAGCAGAAATCCCCGTCGGTGGTCGTAAATCAGACTGCTATGAGTTCCAACTCCGATGGAAAGGGTACAGGAGATAAGAATTCTGCTTCGAATCATACGGATAAGAAACAGAGCAGCGTCGGCGGGTCAAAACAGGGGAATGAGAGGAAAGCAGGGGCGTCGGTGAAACAGGGGATGGAGGCTGTGGTGGAGGGTTTGGAAGGGTGTGATCTCTTTGATGGGGAATGGGTCATGGATAATTCATACCCGCTTTACAAACCCGGTTCCTGTTCACTGATCGACGAGCAATTCAATTGCATTCTCAACGGAAGACCTGATAAGGACTACCAGAAGTACAAATGGAAGCCCCACGGCTGCACTTTGCCCAGGTTGGTAACTTAACTGCACCTCTTCGTAGTTCAATTGCAACAAGTTCTGGTCTTTATTTCTTCAATTGGAAAGTCAATTGTGGATTCGGTTTCTGCGGGCTCTAAATTTTCGTAAAACCCTAGGTTCAATCCTGGGCATATGTTGGATATGTTGAGGGGAAAGCGGCTTGCGTTTGTCGGAGATTCATTGAACAGGAACATGTGGGAATCCATGGTTTGTATGTTGAAAAGTGCCGTGAAAGATCAAAGCAAGGTTTATGAAGCCAATGGGAGGCAACATTTCAGGGGAGAAGCTGCTTATTCCTTCATATTCAAAGTAAATTTCATTCCTTTATAATATATATAGTTTCCTCTTGAGCTTGCTCTTGAAGCCAATTTGATTTTGGAATTAACTTAATTTTTGTATTCAATAGGATTACGGTTGCACAGTTGAGTTCTTTGTTACTCCATTCCTAGTACAAGAATGGGAAACCACTAACAAGAAAGGATCAGCGAAGGAGACACTCCGGCTCGATTTGATAGGGAAGTCCTCTGATCAGTACAAAACTGCAGATTTCATTGTGTTCAATACCGGTCATTGGTGGACTCATGAGAAAACATCCCTAGGGTGAGTAGTCATTGTTGGCTGGTCTCGACTATTACCTGTCTTGGATTGAATTGAATTGAAATGAATTGAACTCTCTTACATTTCCAGGAAGGATTATTACCAAGAAGGTAGTCATGTGTACCCGACCCTTAACGTTCTCGAAGCATTCCGAAAAGCTTTGACGACATGGGGAAGATGGATCGATGCCAATGTCAATCCAAGGAAGAGTTTGGTCTTCTTCCGAGGATATTCCGCTTCTCATTTCAGGTATGAGAAAGTAAACATCTTGAAGAATTCCTAGTAATGTCCGTCCCCCTTTATTGGACAAGGTTTAGAATTAGGAACAAAAACAAAAACCAGCCAGAACCTAGGCAAATTCCAAATTATGGTCTCTTGAGGTTTCAGGTTGAAGCATCCTTAACTTATGTGCTTATTTTTGGCTCGGCTGTTGATATAGTGGCGGGCAGTGGAACTCTGGAGGGGCGTGTGACAACGAAATCGAACCCATCAAGAACTCGACCTACTTGACTGAGTACCCGGACAAGATGAAGGTGCTGGAAAAGGTACTGAGAGGGATGAAAACCTCGGTGAAGTACCTTAACGTGACTCGAATGACCGATTACAGGAAAGACGGTCATCCGTCGATCTACAGGAAGCGGAAGATCAGTGAGGAGGAGAGGAAATCGCCGATGCTGTACCAGGACTGCAGCCATTGGTGCCTCCCGGGGGTGCCGGATGCATGGAATGAGGTCCTTTATGCTCAGCTTTTGGTGAATGAGTACAGGAAGCATCCTGCTCTGAAGAAGCATAGGTGAAGTGAAGAGGAAGAGGGATGATCTAATTTTGAATTCCACCCTTTTGTATATGCAGACCACTATAGTTGTTTATTCTTTTCCCTTTGTTTGTGGTCATAATTTTTGGGTTCCATAGAAGGAGAAGCTAAAGAAGGTAAAAGTTAAAATGGCATCACAGAAGGATGTTGCCAAAAGTTTGGGTATAAAATTGGGAGGGTAAAGAATATATGTTATTAGGAGTAACTTGTAAGTATTTATGGAGTGGAGAAAGATTTCTGATTTGATTTGTTTTGCTGTTTAAACAGATTTCCTCTAATCCTAAAACAAATCTTAGAGAGGCGCAGCTGTTAACTTGAGTAGTTGTCATTGCCAAAGGTTGAGTTAGTTCTGTGGCGGTGCATATAAAACTGAAATTACTGCAGCTTCATCTATTATTGTACTTCGAAGTTTGAACGTTGTAGGTATTATTTATGTCACTCACATGGAGATGTCTATTTGGGGAAGTAGCATAATATATAATAGGGACAGGGTAATATTATATCATTCATCCAATAATAAATATTTGTGGAGAGGGCGGTGGAGTATGTTTGTCTTGTTAGGGTTTCGTGCTGCCTATCAAAGGTGGCAATGCTCTATCATTTGTAGGCGGCTGGCTCCAGGGTAGTGATTACCCTGTGATTAGAGGTGTCAAAAAAGAACCTGACCCGACTAATCCGCCCGACTAACCCGACCCGCAACCTGATCTCAATTCGAATTGACTAAAAGTCAATGATCCGTAACCCGTCCGACTCGCAACCTGATTGACCCGTGACCCGATTAACCCGTAACCCGACTAATCCACAACCCGATTAACCCGAACCCGATTGACCCGTAACCCGATTAAACCCGTAACCCGATTGACCCGAATAATTATTATATTATATATTATGTAGTCTTTGAAATGAAGTTTGTTTGTTGTAAGTCTAAGTAAAACTATTTTTTCATTTTATAAAGGAAAGTTCAAAAAATTAAATTGAGTTGAAATTATGCATTTTTAATAAAAGAAAGAAGGGAAAGTTTTGGTGTTTTTAATTTCTAGAAAGAGAAAAAAGTGGAAAAGTTTGTGTTTTAAATTTTTTTGGTGATATGGTTTATAGGAAGAGAAAGAAGTGAGAAATTTTGGCTAGGGATATATGGTAGCATATCATAACTCATAGGGATATATAGTTAGGGTATTCTCCTACCCTCTAACTGGCCATTCTCTATTACTCGCTGACGGTTTCCTTTACCCACAACAACTCGCCAGACGCTAAGCCAACAATCGTAACCCTTGCCAAAAAAACGCACCCACAGTTCTTTGAAACCCAACAATAATCAAAATAAAAAACCACAAATATTCTTTCATAAACCTAGCAATCAAAATCAAAATGCTACAAGCCTACAACGCTTCTTTCACATACATAGGCAATCGGAACCCCTGCTAGAAAATCCAAACCCCAAACCCCCAATGGAAACCTCGTGAACCCCAGAAATTGCAACCCCCAAACCTAGCAACTAGAACCCTTTGAAACCCAGAAATCGGAGACCCCCAAATCCAAACCCATAAAATTGGAAACCTAGCATTTAAAACCTTTGAGCACCACACGTCGCCGTCATCACCGCTCGTCGGCGCCCGCTGCAACTGCTCCGCCTATAACCGCCACGCAGCTCGTAGATCTGTGAAACTGGAAGGCGATGCCAACGAAGGGAATCTAGGCGACGATTAGCCGAAGAAGTCCCTATCGCCGCTATTGGTTTTGGAGGGAATTTTCGAACATCAGGGGGGATTCTCGTACAAGTGAAGGTGAGCCAGAGAAGTCCTTGTCGTCGGAAATCTCCTTCATCTACCCCAAGATCGTTGACCATCGCGTTCAATCCATAAAAATTCAACAGAAGAAAAACCTAATTAGAATTTAGAACCCAAAACAGCAAAAAAAAAAAAAAAAACCACAGAAAATCACTTAATCAGAAATGAATGTCCTGAATTTTACCATTGAATTTGAAGGCACTGGTCATCATCCACCATCGTCGTATCCAATGTAGGGAAGGGACCTTCGCTTCCTTCTTTCCGGTGAGTGGCGACTGTGAGCTGAGTGGGGCTTTGCCGGAGGAATGGGCTGAGCGGCGATTGTGAAGAGAGAATAAGGAGGTGAGAGTCGAGGGATGATAAGAGGGGAACCTTGGTTCTCTGTTTTCATGACAGAGTGAGTGTGTGGCTGGATGGGAAGAAGAAGGAAATAAATACATTTAAAGGGGTGGGTTAGATTTTTTTTGGGGAAAATTTTCAATTGATTGAAGAAGGGGTAAATTTGGGCGGTGGTCAAATTTTAGAGAAAGTTTTCAATGGTTGCTGGTTAGGGGGAATTTTTGGCAGTAAAGGGATACGACTTAATCAGTTAATTTGATTGACATTGAACACTTTTTTAGTGAGATATAAGGAGTGCTTGTATTTGTCTATTTTTTTATCCAAAATTTTTTTAATTCTTTTATATTATTCAAACGTATTAAACTGCTATTAATTACCCAAATCTTTGGTAATGCATAAAAATATTAGTCATTTTTGCGTTATCGTTAATAATTTTGTAACTCTTTTCTTTGTTAAAATACTAAAATTTTGAAAAGTTGACATTAATGTCTCTTCCAAGTCGGTGTATAGACCATAGGGTATATGGTTAGGTTTAATGAGTTAGAGTATAAGGTATTAATGGTTTAGCCAAGACTAATCAACATCATAACTAATAAGGATAAAAAATTTTATTAACGTATGTTGATGAATCAAACCGTTAAGGTTTTAGGGTATAGACTATAGAGTGAGGATAAGGTATTAATGGTTTAGCCACGGTTAGTCCACATCATTAACTAATACCTAAAACGGATAAAATTTTTTATTAACATATATGTTCATGAATCAAACCATTAAGGGTTTAGGGTAAAGACTATAGAGTCAGCGTATAAGATATATGTTTAGGGTATAAGGTATCAATGGTCTAGCCACGATTAGTCAAAATCATAACTAATAAGGATCAAATTTTTATTAACATACGTTCATGAATCAGACCATTAGAGGTCTAGAGTATAGACTATATCGTCGGATTATTAAAGAGAAATAAAGGAGGGAAATTTTGAGTTTTCAACTTTTTGTGAAAGGATGGAAGGAAGAGGAAAATTTCAAATTTGCTTCTTTCAATTTTATGGAAGAGAAAGAGGAGGGAAAATTGAGTGTTTCTAATTTATGGAAGGAGAAATAAGGAGGAGAATTTTAGGGCTCGTTTGCGTTGTGGTTTTGAAAAATGAAGGTTTTGGTATAATTTGGGTTTTGAAAAAGCATGGATAAATGAGGGTTTTAGGTTCATTATGGATTTGATAAACACCATTGTTTGTTTGATGGATTTCATGATGGATTTTGTTAATTAAATTTGTATGTATGAAGTGTAATTTACCTTTATTGCCCTTAATGATAAAAGAAGAGAAAGCAAATATGAAGGGTATGTTGGTAAAAAATGATGGACTTCAAAGTCCATAATCAATTCCCACCTAAATAGGTGAAACTTTCAAGTCCGTGGGGTCCACGGATTTGGTCCCTTAAAGTTCGTGGGACCCACAGATTTGTTTCCCCTAAATGCATGAAGCAAACAATGGATTTTGGACAAAGTCCATGATGGATCCAAATCCTTCACCAAATCCATCACCAAATTTGGTGAAAAAGAAAGAAGAAAACAAATTTGGTGTTTACCGCAATAATTTATTTTAGAAAAAATCACTTAATTTGTCTACTTGTCTTCTATGCTTCTACATGTATTGCAATTTCAACACTACATGATTGTTATTTTACAACACTTAGTAAAATTTTTGTACATTTAAGTTGTGTTCAAGTTGAACTTTCATTTCAAAATGGGTGTTAAACTTGGCATGTTAAGTCTTACGATTGCAATAACTCAGTCGAGTTGCGGGTTTGAAAATTTTGGTTAATCGGGTTGCGGGTCACTTTGGAATGAAAAATGATAGGGAGGTTTAGATGGGGACTTTGGAATGGAAAATTTATGGGCGGGTGAATATGAGCCAACTATTGTACTAAACTTGATAAGTAATTTTTGACGGTTCATTGTTTAGGGCATAAAATATATGGTTAGGGTATAGGGTATAAGGTACAGATGGTTTAGAGTGTATATGGTTAGGGTATAAGGTATTGATGGTTTTGACGGTTCTAAGTTTTTTATTAACATATGTTCACTTGAAGTCATTTAAAATATTTAACGGCAAGAGATCCCTTTTAAATTTATGTTTATGGTACATGGTTAGGGTAATGGTGTAGAGTATAAGATATATTATTAGGTATAGCAAATATCACTTTTTTATCTATGCTTTGAAAATCAAAGTATGAATTTCACTTTAAATTAACTATACTAGCAAAATCACAACTCATAGGGATATATGGTTAGGGTATAGGGTATGTTGTTAGTGTATAATATATTGATGGTTTAGGGTGTACGATCAACAACATATATTAATTTAATATTGCCGATTGAGAGTAAGGCTAAGTGTATAGGATATATGTTATTGAGTAAATTATGATTGAAGTCACAACAGTTTTACATGGTTATTCTAAAGGAGATACTATAATCCAATTACTACTGAAATAATATTAAAATACCAAATAAATAATTAATGGTGTCTTTTGGTTGCAAATGTTGATATAACCATTACTATTAGCTAATGTACTTTACCAGTTATGATTAATTACATAACAAGTTTACAAGTCATATAAATTGATTCAACATTTTGACTAGTTTTTTTTAAAATTATGTATATATACGAGGTAGAAAGAAATTGGTTAAAAATTGGGAAAAATATTTTAAATTAGTGTAATAAAATGTGTAAGTTGGTAACGAGTAATGAGTAAGTTACTCGATGCGCTGACCCAAACAACCCGCAACCCGATCCGCCCGCAACCCGCCCGACCCAAAACCCGATGAACCCTGTAACCCGATTTGCCCGCAAACTGATTGAACCCGAACCCGATGAACCCGCAACCCGACTAACCCTCAACCCATTGGAACCCGAACCCGATAAACCCGAACCCGATAAACCCGCAACCCGGTGAACCCGCAACCCGTTTGAACCCGAACCCGATTGAACCCAGCCCGAACCCGCCCGATTGACACCTATAGTAGTGTGATGGCAATGGTCGGTGCGGGGCGGGTACCTCAATAGTCAATACTCATGCCCCGCCCCACGTTAGTACGGGGCGGGGCGGGTCGACCCACTCTTACATGCTATTTGAGAAAAATACACGCACAATTTTATTTTTTATGATAGAATGAA